AAACATTGTTTTGATCCTTAAGGCTCTTATAGTTGTCAATAGGGCTTTTAAAGTGTTGTTGAAAGTGATGAAGCATAAGTGTTTAGCTACATCAGCAAGTCGAGAAGAGTGGTTATGACACTACCGTCTTAGACATCTCAATTTTCGTGATCTTAACATGTTACGAAAGGATGGTATGGTAACTGGGTTTCCAAGAATCAACATTCTAGCTGAGATATGTAAAGAGCGCATGCAAGGGAAGATGCACAAGAGTAATTTCAGCAAGGATGCATAAGAGTAATTTCAGCAATGCAAGTCAATTGATGGTAATAGGTATTTTGTCACATTGATCGATGATTTTAGTAGGAAGTTGTGGATATACCTAATCAAGCGGAAGGATGAGGTATTTTATGTGTTCAAACAATTCAAGGCCATGGTTCAGCGGCAATGTGGTCACAAGCTCAAAATTCTCAAAACAGATGGTGGAGGTGAGTGTACCTCGAATGAGTTTGGAAAGTATTGTAATGAAGAGGGGATAGTGCGTGAGATTGTGCCACTCTACACCACAACAAAATAGTATTGCTGAGAGAAAAGATCATTCAATAATGAACATGGTTCGAAGCATGATAAAGGATAAAGACTTGCCGAAGGAACTATGGGGTGAAGCCATTTCTACAGCCGCCTATTTGTTGAATAGATACCTACAAAAAAGATTGATAAGGTGACTCTAGAAGAGGTATGATCTGGATTTAAACCAAGCGTAAGTCATTTGAAAGTTTTCAGATCAGTAGCATTTCAACACGTTCCTGGTCAGCTCAGAAAGAAGTTGGACGACAAGGGTGAGATGATGTTACTTGTTGCAAACAAGAGGATCGTGATTAGCTGAGATGTTGTGGTCGACGAGCTGCAAAAGCTTGTTAGCAGCAAAAAAATTGTTGTGCAGGCTCTGTAGCTGATTACGCTAAAAATGGTAATCAATTACCACGTGTATTTTTGAATTCTGAAGCTGTTGGAACTGATTTTGTAGAAGGCATAACCAGTTACGAGAATCATATAACCGGTTACGAGCTAGAAAATCAGAATTCTCAGAATTCGGGAGGTGCGTTACAGCAACAGGTCGAAACCGAAAATGAAGGAAATGTTAGACGACCAACAAGGCAAAGAGGTTTACTTCAGAGACTCCAAGAATGTGAAGTATTTCGAGATAACAAAATCAATGATGATGGTGATTTATTTCACTTTATGCTTATGGACGAATCTGAACCGGTGAACACGAAAGAGACTCTAAGAGATCCAAAGTGGATTTGTGCAATGAAGGAGGAGCTGAAATCTATTAAAAAAATGGTACTTGAGAGTTGGTCGATTTACCACTTAAAAAGAAGTCAATTGGTTTGCGATGGGTCTATAAAGTGAAGGTAAACCCAAAGGCGAGGTGATCAATAATAAGGCTCAATTGGTAGTGAATGGATTCTTGCAACGTGAAGGTAGAGACTCTGAGGAAGTGTTTGCACCTGCGGATAAGTTTGAAACAATTTGATAAAGTGAAGGTAAACCCAAAGGCGAGGTGATCAATAATAAGGCTCAATTGGTAGTGAATGGATTCTTGCAACGTGAAGGTAGAGACTCTGAGGAAGTGTTTGCACCTGCGGATAAGTTTGAAACAATTTGATAAAGAGGTTTTTGTTGAGCAACCCCCTGAATTTGTAGTAAAGAATCAAGAGATGAAGTTCTACAAATTGCATAAAGCTTTGCATGGTTTGAAACAAGCTCCAAGAGCTTGGAACAAACACATTAATGGCTTTCTTGTTGATATTGGTTTCAAGCGGTATGTGTCTGAAAGCAAAGTTTATGTGAGATCGGATGCAAATAATGGTGTGATCGTTCTTTGCTTATATGTGGATGATCTATTGATTACTGACCGTTGTGAGAAGAGTATATTTAAGTTCAAGAATTAACTTATGGATGAATTTGAAATGACAGACCTTGACATTATGATGTATTTCTTTGGCACAGAGTTCCATAAGTAAAAAAATGGGACTGCTCATGCTTCAAAGGAGTTAATTGGGAAGGAGAAATAGTAGAGGAAGCTACTTGGGAGGACTATGTCGTGTTCAAAAGTCAATTTCCACAATTCAACCTTGAGGACAAGGTTCCAGTTGAAGAGAGGAGTATTGATAAAAAAAGTGATAATAATTTACAATTACTAGCACAATTAATTCACCACTCCTCTAGTGGTCCTAGAGTTTAGACAGTTTATTCTAGAAGGGGTTAAAGGAAATTAGTTAGCAATTATGAGCTGGCATGAAAGAGATGAGCAATACACTTCCACAATATAAGGAGCAGTCAGTAGAGGGAATAATCATCCTGGATTGTAGCTAGATCTGGCAGGAATGAAAAGGATATTCTAGTATCCTATAGGAGCTTAGCTCTGGGCCCATTTTGGGATTGACAAAATTCTACTCTTTGTACTTGTTTTCCATTTTCATCACTAAAGCTTCTTTTCCTCATATTTTCATAACTGTTTTACTACTACATTTATTACTGTTCTGTTCTGTTAGTTTGGATCAAATCCCATCTATGACATGCAGTTTTGAAGTTGCAACAGCAAGCACCAGCAATAACACAGAATTAATCTTCTCAGCAACGAGAAGGTAAAATGACAACCAAAAAATTGAGCAAAATGCATAGAAACAAAACACTATCAGTGTCACACTGCTACATTCTCTATTTTGGATACGTAAACAGAATTAAAGATTGGTGTTTTTTCCCTCCTAACCTCTCGATTATTAGGGAAGGAGACTCTGGTAATCTAAAGTTTGGACATGAAGTAAAACCTGGCAAAAGATTGTTGTAGTCACAATTCAAATGCAGGTTATTCAAAACGAGATGTCCTTAGCCAGAGTTTATTAACCATTTATATGCATGGTCTGAAATTGCGGTTCACAACCACAATTTTTTCTAATAATATAAAGGTTTTTGTGATTTCAACAACTACGCCGCAAAAACAATGGATGCTGCACCAGTCGCGTATATCAAAAGTATCAAGAATCACAGCATTATCGCATAATAATGAATGGAGATGAAAGAAAATAAGGGGTGTACCGGGGGTCCATGATCGGGGGGATAATTATTCTTCTCTTTCCACCAGCTTTCATGTCTTAAATTCCTTCTTCAAATCCTACAACAGAAAATATGAAAAAAGATATCAAATTCTACAATAGAAAATGTGAAGAAAGATATATAAGCAGGCAAATAATGAATGCTTTGTCATGCAATCCACAAGGGAACTGGTAATACTAAATCTATTTATTTACCAGGAGCCAATGCGTTGTTACCATGCGAATTTTGGCAGGAGAACCTTGCAAATAAGTACTTTCAATACGGCGGCCAGATTCGTTATAGCCAACATAGTGAAATGTGACCTACAAGGCATGATATGAGTGTTACAATCATATTTTTGAGATAACTTCAAAGCTATAAAACTGGCCACACTTCCAATTAATCAAATCACATGCTATGTGAACATGAAATTTTTATACTTCGACAAGAAGTTTCTTTGATAAAAGAGATGCCAAAGCAACTAAGAGGAAAAGTCTTCAAGACATTTTTAAGGGTTTCCATATTAAATAAGAAAAGGTCTTGATATGTTTATAAGTGGGAACGGTCTTCACTTTCCATAACGGGTTTGTAAGGGTTGAATCAGACTCAACCCAAATTCTAAGATGGTATAAAATCCATTAGGCCAACTGCTATCAGGTCACCGCTACCGAACCTGAATATAAGTTTATATACGTGAAAGCAATCCTCGCCTTATATATTAGTTTTGTAAACTCTAAACAAATTCTAAGATTATTGTAGCAACTAACTCCAATTAAATATCAGTTTCCAGTTTCTCCCATCTCAACAAACTCAAGCTATTTAAAGTAGTAGCCCATTGCAAAATACTACATAGAGACAATTTCGGTTCTCGTGATCACACTGCTTAATATTTGTGCGAACTTATTCTCCAAACCAATTAAAATAAAATTAAGAAGAAAGAAATAGTCAACTGGAAAGAATATAAAAGAAAAACCTGCTGACCATCCTTTGGACAATCACCAGTACCAACTTCAAAATCTTGGTATATTAGCCCCGAATCACGTTTTATATAGTCATCTGATGCTATCACTTTAACTTCAAAACCTGAAAATTGTATTAATAAACCAGAACATCATATCCGTATTAGGCTCCTAACTTTTCCACACTAAATTTCAACAAAAAAACACAAATGTGACACATAATAGAGAAATCAAAGGGTAAAAAGGGAACATAATTTTTCTTACGGAACTCAGAAAAAAACTTAACAATCTATGAAAAAACAATGAACATTACGTTCTCTAATAAAATTTGGGAAGCCATCTGGTACATTGTTCTGTTTTTGTATATTCCTATTTTGTTGTAGCACACGTTTTTCATTATACGGATTCATATTTTTCGTCTTTGCATCAGAAGATAAAGTTGGAAAAACAACAGCTGTGACCAAAGCAGAAAGCACAAATTTCCTCCTTAATACATTCTCAGGATGTAATGTGGAACTATCCTGCACTCTCCATACAAACAAAAGAGTAGCGCACACCTTGGCTGTCCAAGAAGGGAAACCCTTGACAATTTATTCAAAAAGATTGGCAACGTATTAACAAAGATTCACAATGTATTCACAAAAAAACCATGAAGAAAAAACTGAAAACAGCGATGAAAAGAGTAGCGCACACCTTGGCAGGCCAAGAAGGGTTTTACAAGATTGCCTAAACGCAATTGCCCGTTCGCCTTAGCCTTGTTCGCTTTGCGTCGACGCGCGGGAGGCATGACTTGGAGAACGACGTCGTGGAGAAACAGTGGAAATTGGAAGGGTACAAGAAATTTGACGGAAAAGTATATCAATTTCTTGTGACATGAAGAAATTACAAAACACATAATCAATAAACTTATAGTATATGATGAAACAACAATCTAACATAACATATAGTTCCATTAATTCCTACTCAAACTCGATAATTCTCCAGCTGAACATCTTTAGCTGTCAATGGCACATACTCTCCAAGATAAACTTCAAGATGATCAGCCAAAGCAGACTTATCAATATTCTCATGATGATAACTCTTGCAAACCAAACACAAGACAGTTTGCGAAACAAGTCCAAACAAAAACAAACACGACAGCAACAAGAAACATAGTATCCCATATCCTGTTCTGTCCACGTAACCAAAACACCATGTTCCATTCACAACCACTACCTTAAAAACCAACCTTATCAAGAAAAACAAAAGGTTTAGCATCAAAAATATAAATATTGACAAACCCATTTTCCCTTTTATCAACTCCTTGCTCTTCACCATAGCTTGGAATCCGTATAAATCCTCCAACACCGTCACAACGCTAGCTAGTTGCCATATCAAAGTTAAGTAAACAAATCCAATAAAATAGAAGATTATCAAGAAAATAAGCAAACCAGCTCCACCGTTTTTTACAAGATGCACACCTTGGCAGGCCAAGAAGGGTTTTACAAGATTGCCTAAACGCAATTGCCCGTTCGCCTTAGCCTTGTTCGCTTTGCGTCGACGCGCGGGAGGCATGACTTGGAGAACGACGTCGTGGAGAAACAGTGGAAATTGGAAGGGTACGATCAGAAAACCCTGGTGAATCCCGCAGAGGAACCGCGGCGGAGGAGAAGGGGATTAGGGGAATTCAAATTCAATAATAACAAAAATATAAACCAGTTGTCAACTTATGCTTACATTAGGATTATTGTCCATTTCTATAAACACTGCTTGCATCTTGCCATATATTTCAGAGTTGCTAGCTCCCTGCCTTATGCTTTCCTTGGCACTTTTAACCATCTTTCGTCGGATCAACAACCATTCAAAGATCAACAAATCATCATATTTAGTCACCTGTTTCTTGAGAAGACAGACTCTTAGTGTGCATAGGGGATTGAGGCAGAACTCTATTTGAAGGAGGCAAGCCAATTAGTCCATAAAGCAATGCCTGAACTTTTGATTCAAGGAAAAGCCTTAGTTCTGTTCATATCATTAATGTGAGTAACGATTTTTATTATTATTCAGAATCGAAAACTCAATAACCTATGCTTTACAGCACTCACACACCCTGAAAACTCAATAACGATTTTTATTATTATTCACATACTCTAGACCCCAACGGTAACAAAGTGTCAATTAAACAACGCTATATAAGAGAGATACGTACATATATATATATATATATACCATGAATCCTAGCAACAGTATGTCATAGTGATATGCAGAAGGTTTCCTGAGATTGAAATCCTCTTTTTGTGCCAATTGGGATGCAACACTGTGGTCAAAGAAGTAAAGCCCTGCTATCATTATGGCAGGAACAAAAGCTTGAAAAATGTTTGGAGAAACCTTGCCGATATCCTGCAGTAGAAATCATGTCATTAAATCCCAAAACTACTAAAAGCGAAAAATGGTGTAAATTGACTTCATGCAAGATAGTTTTACTTTGATTACTGTCCAGTGATGTAACGACGCAGATTCCAAAGCCAAAGGTGCAATAAGTCTTCTTGGAACACCAGAAGATACTTTACTCGATACTACTGCGAATGATAAAGCTGTCCACACCACTACCATGAAAGGAACTCCATAGTCTGCAATGAAACCTCTTAACATTTCTGCTCCATAAACAAATAAAGTCAGATTCTAAACTCCAATAAACCTGTTACATATTATTTAATCGTAACTTACTCGACAAACCTGTTCTGTATAATCACGACCTTGCTCTTCTGCTTTTTAAAGTATAGAGAAGGCCGAAAGTGAATATAACACCAAGCAATCCATTTTCATACAACCAATAAAATTGGAACTTATCCAATGTTGGATTCCCTTGTTTCGGAACTTGAAACTCAGTTACCATTCCCTAAACATAAAATACAATAATAACTTGCATCAAAGTTTTTTTCCCGTGTTATGCCAAATTCAATTTTCACTTGATATTTGATACCTCAAACAAAACTAATATATCAGAAAACTAACCTTGATAGCCTCTTGAATGAATAAGACTGTAATCAACATGCTAAAAAGCTCACCAGCAATCCTTGTAAATCTATTGATTATATTGCCAGCATTGAATATTGCTAAAAGAAACAGCAGTAGAGCACTCCATACACAAACCCTGAAATGTAATAAACATCCATTAGTCAATGCGACATCACGAACTTCTCATATGTTTGAATTTGAATTGACTTTTTTGAATTTATCTACTAGCATAAGCACGTAAGAGAGCATGTAAAAACAACCGATGAAAACAAAATATGAAAATACTTTTAACATAATTAAGTTGTTTGTTCAAAGAGGAGAAAATGTTTATCTTACCATCCTACCCAAGCCAAATAGAGTTCTAGTCCCAAGCCCTCCATATTTTTGGCATACGGGTACAAATATGTGTTCATAAGAATACTACAATACCAGTACACACGCTCATCTTTAGAGTAATCTGCTACTTATATTTTTAGCTCAGAAATTGGGAGCCCTGTAATGTTCATCCCAAAAGCATATTTAAAAAATGGAAAATATATGAAACTAAGATAACAAACTTAACACAATCAAAAAAGCACATTAAAAAATAGTGTAAGACAGGATAGCAATTATGCAAGTAGTCCAGAAGAAAGTAAGAAATGGATTAGTGACAAATTTAAGATTCAGTAAGGAAAAAGAGATGCAACAGAAAGTATTTTAAAAAACCAGGAAGCATACACTTATGACAGTTTTTGTTTTTATTGTAAACATATTCTATCAACAATAAAAGCCAATTTTTAGAACTCTTGTATTTTGGTTCCAATTTCTAACAAACAGTTTGATAATATATTGAGATTAAAAGGAACAGATAACAAAAAACCAAAGTATTTTCTGAATAAATGGGATTGGGTAGATAGATCAAACAACACCGTCATATCCTGTCATATATTAAGTCTAATGATAGACTATATCAGAATGCAATACACTCACCATCAAGAAATCATCTTGAAATTTCTGAAATTCAAGAGCATAGCAGGTAATCTTCTCAGGAGACTCCACAATTGCCTTAATAGTGAATTCTCACAAGGAACATCACCTGCTTGAAAACAATAAGGTTTAAATGGTATTAGTTCAGAGATTTTAATATGGGTAGGCGACGTATAAATTACGGTTAAAGCAAAAAACAGAAATATATTAGTCTATTATTACTCTCTTTTGAAACTGATTTTTGAAATATGAATATAAGTATAAAAAATCCTCTTTGCAATAACAAAACTATTTATTCTTACTTTTATTTATCTAACTTTTTAAACACTATTGGGAAAGGATTATCAACTTTTTTTTGTATTCTACAGCTTTTTTTTACTGCTTCATTATATTCTACAGCTTTTTTTTGTATATAAATTTTAAATTTAATCTTAGTTACTATGTTCCCACTACATTTTCAAGAAGATTTTTGGCTTGACGCACCATCCCCGCTAATAGCATTGAGATTATTTGACAAAACTTCATGTTGGTCGTTGAGTGCCCAACAAAACTCTAACCTTTTATCTAGATTTGTGAAGAAGAATGGAAAGGGAGCCAAATTCAATTATTTGTTGAATTACAGAGATTTCATATGTGAAAAATGAAAAAGGACAATAGCAGTTATAAAAGTCTAACCTCAATAGTATACCTTGACCGAACAAAGATAAGTTGTGGAATCCCATCTATGACATGCAGTTTTGAAGTTGCAACAGCAAGCACCAGCAATAACACAGAATTAATCTTCTCAGCAACGAGAAGGTAAAATGACAATCAAAAAATTGAGCAAAGCGCATAGAAACAAAACACTATCAGTGTCACACTGCTACATTCTCTATTTATAGAATGTTGAGAACTGCAAAACAATAGAACAATAGTTTCAGTGGTGAAGATAAATAAGTTAATCTCTTCTTGCCCAGGATATGTAATTGCAAAAGTTAAATAAGTCCAGCTAATCATCATCCCATTTGTGAATTTAACCGCCTAGTGTGCTACCTGAATAAATGCATCACAAAACATAAAAGCCAAAAACAGTATTCAAGTGTTCAAGACTAAGATATCTAAGCAGAATGCCAGAATGATACAATGGCAACTGCAGTAACTTTAAACTATAATTTTAACTTCACAACCGCCAGCTTCAAAATCAAAATACCCGCTCAAAGCTTCAAATCAAAGACATACAAAATAAATATCAAGAAATACAAAACAAAAACAATACACAACAACATTCCTCAATGTATACGACTAAAAACTCTAAACAAAGGTAGAAATTCAATTGCCAAAGTGTATGTTTGGATTGGTGGTATGGATGGAATGGAGTGGTAAATAATAAGATTTCATTGCTAGGATTTGCAAATAATGGATCGAGTACACTTTGTTGCAGTGAAGTTACCAATCACAGCAATACTCTTCAGTTAAGATAGCTAGCCTAAATTTAACTTTGGTTGCCTCATCCTATGATCCAAGAGTTTATCTTTCAGTTTTAGAAAGGGGGGGTTTAACTGCTATGTTATAGACTTGCTGTTCATTGAATATTTAGGATTGCACATGCATTTATTATTATTCACAATTTTGCTAGATGCTTCACCTTTTCCCCTGACGAGATCTCACTTGTAATGAGTCCAACCTGGTACTAATGGTAAAGACATCTACTGTTCCTCCAGTTTCGGGCACAGGAACTTGTTCCTCCAGTTTCGGGCACAGGAACTTGTTCCTCCAGTTTCGGGCACAGGAACTTGTTCCTCCAGTTTCGGGCACAGGAACTTATTATTATTCACAATTTTGCTAGATGCTTCACCTTTTCCCCTGACGAGATCTCACTTGTAATGAGTCCAACCTGGTACTAATGGTAAAGACATCTACTGTTCCTCCAGTTTCGGGCACAGGAACTTGTTCCTCCAGTTTCGGGCACAGGAACTTATTATTATTCACAATTTTGCTAGATGCTTCACCTTTTCCCCTGACGAGATCTCACTTGTAATGAGTCCAACCTGGTACTAATGGAAAAGACATCTACTGTTCCTCCAGTTTCGGGCACAGGAACTTGTTCCTCCAGTTTCGGGCACAGGAACTTATTATTATTCACAATTTTGCTAGATGCTTCACCTTTTCCCCTGACGAGATCTCACTTGTAATGAGTCCAACCTGGTACTAATGGAAAAGACATCTACTGTTCCTCCAGTTTCGGGCACAGGAACTTGTTCCTCCAGTTTCGGGCACAGGAACTTATTATTATTCACAATTTTGCTAGATGCTTCACCTTTTCCCCTGACGAGATCTCACTTGTAATGAGTCCAACCTGGTACTAATGGAAAAGACATCTACTGTTCCTCCAGTTTCGGGCACAGGAACTTGTTCCTCCAGTTTCGGGCACAGGAACTTATTATTATTCACAATTTTGCTAGATGCTTCACCTTTTCCCCTGACGAGATCTCACTTGTAATGAGTCCAACCTGGTACTAATGGAAAAGACATCTACTGTTCCTCCAGTTTCGGGCACAGGAACTTGTTCCTCCAGTTTCGGGCACAGGAACTTATTATTCACAATTTTGCTAGAT